CTGCAATTGTCAGAATCTTATTACATACAGTTTACAACAAACCCTATTCATTTTTAGCTGTTTTATAAGCTCTCTAACTGCCTACATGGAAGAACAGAAATTTGACAATTGGCTCTTCAACACAGCTGACAAAAGTATAAGAAAACCCAGAGGTTGGAAGCTGAAGCTAATCAAATTCAGATTTGAAATAAAGTGCATGTTTTTAACAATGAGGGTAATTAACCATTGGAACAACTTACAAAGGTTGTGTTAGATCAGGGGTGGGCAATAATTTTTGACCAGAGGCCACTTCAGAAATTTCCCCACTCATAGACCCTGATTGGTCTGGGGATGGGAGAGCACGCAAAGTCTTTGCTCCCACCCTCCCTCCCCACCCCCAGAGAACCGCCAGCTGTGCCAGCTGTCTGCAGACCTGCCAGTTCTGAACAGCTGGCAGTTACCTCTAGATACCCCTGCCATTGGCAGTGGGAGATTTCACATGCTCCCCCTTGGTGCCCCCAGGTCAATCAGGACTTGGGGAGAGGAAGCACGTGGAGTCTCTCACTCCCTGTCTCCTCCCTGCAAGGGAGCACCGCACTGAGAGTGAGCAGCAGCTGGCGGTTGACTTTAAGTGCTGAATCCTTTGCAGGGCGAGAGGAGACTTTACATACTCCCCCTGCCCCCAAGTCCTAATTGGCCTGGGGGCTGGGGGAGCTCATGAAGTCTCCTTCCATCCTGGCCCTGTCTAGCAAGGCCAGTCAGTGCTTGGCGGCAGGGAGAGAGTGGAAAGTCTCCTCCCGCCCTGCCAGTAGCACACTGTGCTTCTAAGTACCACACACTCCTTGCAGGGTGAGGGCTGGGTGGAAGAAGACTTTGCACGCTTCCCTCCACCCCCTGGCCCTGATTGGCCTGGGGGCAGTGGGAGCGGCAAGGCCTCTGCAGGCTGGATCACCTTGCTTGGCAGGTCAGATCTGGCCCACACAGACCCTTTGCCCACCCTTATGTTAGACCAGGCCTGCACAACTCGGAAAGTGGCGGAGGCCATATTACTCCAAAGAAAACAGCTGTGGGACGCAAGTAGGGATGCTCTCCCAAAAAATACCGAACACGCAGGCTAAACATTTTTGTCAAGAAAAAAAAAAACACGCATGTCTCCAGTTGGCCCCCTGGCATTTATCTCTCCTGCACCCTGCCCCTTGGTGCCTTCCCCTTTCTCCTGACCTGCCCCCCTCCCATCAGCACAAGTCCCTTCCCCTTCCCGACTTGGCTTCTGCCTTCCAGGTTGCAAGGCTGCTGGAACCTTTTTTAATCCGGCAGATGCTGGCCGTGACGTCATGACGCCACGTCACGCCAGCATCCTGGTGTCTGCTGGCGCCCTGACCTCTGGCTCGCGCCTCGCCTCCTCGTGCCGGAGCTGCATGCAGGCAGCCTGGCAGCAAGAATCACTGCACTTCCCCCTCCGTGGTGGCGCTCCACTCCTCTGCCCGGCCAGCGGATCGGATGGGGCTGTGCCTCCTGTAGTCGGCACGGGCCGCACAGTGAGCCCCTGCGGGCTGCATGTGGCCCTCGGCCCGTATGTTGTGCAGGGCTGTGTTAAACTCACCATTGCTAGTAATTTGCTGGATGTTTTTCTAAAAGGTATGCTTGAATTCAAACAGGAATTAACTCAGGGAAATCCTATATAGTGTGTTAGACAAGAGGCGGACTAAGTGATCACAATGGTCCCTTCCAGCTTTACAATCTATGAATCACTCAGCCACCTGCAATCAATCAATGCCCCACACCTGGCATTTATAGTCTCTCTCCAAGGAAACCCCTCAGCCCACACAGCTTAGCCCACTTGCTATGCTGGCCAATGTCTTGGGTGGTGGCTTCTATTGCTTCAGCTCAATTTACATAAAGGACCATTTAATTGCTCATTCCATTTAACTTTAATGAAGCTGCTTAATGTAAGGCAACTGGTAGAATCTGCTAATACATTGCAGGATAACAGTATCACATATCATTTAAGAAAAATGTTTTAAATCAGATTTCCATGATCTGTTTTCTGTGTTCAGAGTTATATTTTACATTATGGTTAACTCTCGCATTCTTGCAATTTACCACATACTAAACAAACAATACTTTGGAAGACTGTACACAGGAAAAGAAAGCACTGCATAGCATAAAACCTTTTGAAAGTCATGAGATGATGCTGAAGTTTAGTAAGTCCATCATTTAAAACCAGTAAGTGTATCTGATTGTAGAACACTCCTATAACAAAAAGATTGTGTCACAAGTCATTTCCTAACTCGGTGTGATGGTGTGCTTCCACACTGAAGGCCACATGGAACTGCAACACTCTGTCCCAGAAAACAGTAGTGGAGGGGAGTTCTCCAAACAGGCTACGGAGGGTGTGTAGGCCACAACCAGTCACGGAAGGATTGCAAGGAGCAGCCATTCAGGGCCTAGTGGCTGCAAGGGCAGTTGGGATGGGAAAAATGTAGGGTTGCCAGATGGTTTAACACCACCCCCCCAAAAAAACAGGGAAAAAATTCTGTTGAGGAAAAAAAAGGGGGAGACGAAAGTTGTTGAACAAAGAAAGAAAAGAGAGTTAAGCAAAAAAACCCAAAACAAAAACAAAAAATAAAACAGCATTAAAACAGCATGGCCCTTTTAAGAAAAGTCTTTAGGCTTTTTGCCAGTGGCCATCTTGTTTTCTTGATCAGAGCCAGAAGGCAGCTTCCCTTCAGAACCAGGTAAGGGAGAGGGGCAGGGGGTTGAACCCAGTTGCTCAGTGTGTCCGGTATTTTTGCCTTCTGGCAGGGAAAAAAAAACAGAAAATACTGGACATTTTAGGTGTCTGGTATTTTCTGAATTTTTTTTACAGGACAGACGGCAAAAATACCAGACTGCCGGGGTCAAACTGGACACCTGGCAACCCTAGGAAAATGCACAGAGACACCCCTCCTCCCAGGGGCTGCAGGAACATGCTGACAGCTGTGCAACCAGCAGGAAGCTACTCTAGCCCTACTGCGCTTCTGATGGGGGCGGCTGGGCCATTTTAAATGCTCCAGGGGTGACAGGCAGGGCCAGGGAGAAACCCAGCTCTAAACTTTGGTGAAGGCTGGCCCCAGGTCAGGAATATTCCTTGTGCCCAGGCACCACAATTCCATAGAATGTTCCACTCCTGGCTCTACATGGGAATATGGGTCGTGTACAGCCCCCGGGACTTGAATCGAAAGGCTATATCTTCAGCTGGTGTAAATCAGCCTAGCTTTATTGAAGTCAGTTGACGTTTTCCCAATTTACCCCAACTAAGAATCTGGACCTAACTGCTTAAATGGTTCTGAAGGCCTTATCCAGAGTCTCTTCACTAATGTGACTTTCACCCAACAGCCACAGTGCTGCAAGCTGATGCATATGGAGTGTTCCTTGCACCTGCACAGGGCTCTATGTGGATGTAAAGCCCTGTCCATCTGGATCATCTTGCAGGATTGGGGCCTAAATACACACTGGAATTCTTTAAAGTATACAAAGCTGAACTGCTTCTGATTTCCATTGCCTAACCTAGTAAGCCTCTAATTTTGCACTTATTGAAAGATGGGGATTCAATCTCCCTCCCCTTTAAATCAATGGCAAAACTCCCTTTGACTTCTGTGGTACAGGACCAGAATCTAAATATTCAAGATTTTATAACAGCTGATATTGACTGGTAGAATTTCTCACTAACATTTTAATATACTATAATTAAAGTACTACAAGTCATTTACTTATCAAGATGTATATTTGATGCAATGCACCACTCATTGTGTGGAATACATGTATGATAACCATAGGAGATTGGGTGCACAGCTTGAGACCCACCATAAATGAAATGTGACTTAATCTTAACCTTTTTTAAATGCCTGCTGCATGAGAGAAATTGCCATCATTTTAGGGATCACCTAGCATGAAGATTGAACAGTATGCCACACTCTAGGGGCACGTTTACACTGCAACGCTATTTCAGGATACTGGGGTATCCTGAAATAGCTATCCCATGTCTTCACAGCAAGCCCATTATTTCAGGCTTGCTATTCTGACATCCCTGCAAACCTCATTCTACAAGGAGTAAGGGAAGTTTCAGAATAGTGCTTTATTTTGAAATTTGGTGCTGCGTAGACAGCACCAAATGATTAAATAAGCTAATTCAAAATAGCATCAAAATGTGATACATAATTTGCGTAGCTCAAATTGCATATCTCATTTTGAGTTATGGTGCAGTGTAAAAGCTCCCTAACTCTCTTCTGCCTTCCAAAAATGCAGCTCTCCTGGATTCTGTATCCAATATCCAACATTCATTTCCTCAGTTTGGTACTTCACTTTAATAAAGCTTTATCCTGCAGTGCAAACTGCTGGCTTCATCAACACCCAGTGAGAAAGCCAGCATCTTGAGAACAAAGCCACTAGCAAATAGCTGATGTAATTTCATGTATTAAGTGCTATCTTACTTTGTACAAAACCACTCAATAATAACAGTTTATTTTTCAGGGTTCTTGCATGATTGCCTCTCGTGCTGTCTCAAATAATTTTTAAGAGCATTGTTGCTACACAACTGAAAGATTAGAAAGTGGGGAAATTTAACCAGGAATAGTTGCACTAACATTAGTCTAATCTTTGTAAGTACTATCATTCTCCCAATATAGGAAAGAAATTTATATTAACTTGCCTTTTCAACATACCCCAATCAGTTCATGTGAGGTACAAGTAAATGAGAAACAGCTAAGTGAAAGAGATGGCT